ATATATATCATATTCATTTGTTATTTCCTCGGTTAATCAATATTTTTGCAACTATATTTTATGTTGTGCTTGTTTACCAAAAGTTAAACGTGTCTAGCCATATGCCTATGCAAGATTCTTTCACGATAACGGTGATGACTTTAAATAAAAATACCAGACCGTTTTCACACCGAGATTTTTAAACAAACTACGTTTTTTTTTTTTTTTTTTTTTTTTATTGAAAAAAAAAATACAAATACTTCTCCTGCTACTAAAAATAATTGATTTTTAAAAATATTTTATAATGTTTTGGTATAACATAAGAATAACAAATTTTTTTGTTTTTCAATGTGAAACAAATTGTGGTTTTAAAGTGCTTGTTGTGCATAATAAATATCTTTATGCTGCTTTGTGTTTTGTACAGTAAAGTGTAAGAGGCATACACATACAACCAGAGAAAATACTAGTCATGCAAATTTCTTGGGCATCTCATTGAAATCACTTTAAACTATAGGAAACTAATGCAAATCTGCATTGCTTTCAAACTGTACCTTTTTATATAATTGCCTAAACCTGGCTTTTGCTTTTACTTACCTCTTTCCAGAGAAGAAAAAAGAGGGGGAAAAATGTGTTGTTCTGTCTATTTCCAGCTGGCAGATTTGTACTTACAGGCACCGAGTCCAGAACAGGCTGTTTAGCGTCAACCCGGCTGAAGTTTGTTGTATTTACAGTTAACAGTCTGCTAAATAGAAAGAAACAGGAAGTTATTATTTCATGTCATCATCTGCGTTCATAATTAGGAGAACGACTTTGCACATCACAACTATGTGAAAGACAGCACGGTGTTACTCCGGGTCGTTTTTCTGCAGAACAGAACCGATCCATGGATCTTGAAATCCCTCTGCTCCCACCGCCGTCGGTGACGGCGTGTGTCGTTTGGACTCCGGTCCTTCAAAACCTTCCTGTAAAAACAAAACCACGAACAGCAGGAAGTTGTGTGAATGTTCAGAGTTTGTATTCTCCGCATCTGAGAACACACGTACAAAGATCGGACGCCGTGTTAAAGTACATCCTGCTCCCAGATGTCTCGTTTGTACGCAGACTAGTGTGTTACAGTTGACTTGTAACATTCCACATACAAAATACTGTATGCAACAACAATCAGCCATGGGCAAACCTCCAGACTTCCCCTCCTGCAGTCTGTGCAAGTTTACTCTTGCTCTGAGTTCCCTTTAAGAGCCTGTGTACAGTTACCATATGCTTGGTATTAACGTCCTCTTGCATTGAGAGCGTGCCGCAGTGTGACTGGAATTTGACCTTAGCCTGTGTTGCAGGCAGGTTTGTGTAACAGTATAATAGGAAAACCGAGTTTTACTTTTATTCTTAAAACATAAACTGATTGTTGATTTTACATTTAAAAAAAAAAAAAACCCTCCGCTGTTAGCGGAGTTCTTAAACAGCAGTCTCCTTGTGTTTTATCTTAGTAATGTAGAGGCTTGTTTAACTCTTGAGATTTCCGAAATGCTGCCAACATTTCCCGATTCTGCATGTTTTAAGACGGAAATAGGTTAAAAACTCAAAAAGTGAGGACGTGGTTCCTCTGCTATTCTCTGTTTTAGCTGTTCTGTTACGTATCGAAGTCTTGCTCTCGCTCCCTCTCTTGCAGACTCAATGAATTTCGGGCATGTCTCGGCACATTGTACAAAACGGAGCAAACAAAAATCCTTCTGTACTTCCTCTACTTTCATGTCAAACATCTCACTCTGACTGATGCTAGCTAACTCATCAGCTTAGTTTTCTTTTCACAATAATAACTTTCGCACCTCGTCGTTTTGTTGACATTATAACTTGGTAGAACTTAATGTGGTGCATTTAAAAGACTTTATTTTTCAAATTTTGGTCAACACAGTCCCAGTTCTTTCCTCAATCTGTTGGAGTATCTGTGAGGTTCTGCGCAGACAAAGCTGCAGCCTAGATGTTTCTCAGATAGAATCTGTCAGCTGAGCTTACCTGTGGTGAGTTATGCAGTGGGTGGGGTTTGCTCGGGGTTTTCCAGCTACCATTTCTAGACAGACATTTGAAGCACACAAAAAGTGTGAGTACCTCTAAATCTCAAGTAACATTTCCTATGTTAAATGGTTTCAAACATCTGTTTTCAAAAACTCTTCAGGGCTTTTTTTTTTTTTCCTATCTTTTAGCACTCAATTATGCCATTTGCCCCAGATTTGCATGAGTAAAACTGCTTTCAAGCCGTTAACTAGAATAATTATGAGCTTTAAAAAGAAGCCGCATTGACTTTCTCTCTGGAACATTTGTTCCAGCTTAAGAAAAAAAAAAAGGAGGGTTGGGGAAAAGAATAAAACTTGTTTCACACAAGTTGTTTTGCTTGGCTGGATTCCGATTGCGGCTGAGTCCTTCCACTTTAAAGTAATCCACATTATGCCCAGATGAGACTCGTTGGATTATACAAGACTTATCCCGCCTGATCATGTGAAATTAATGGCTGTGGCGACATGGGAGGGCAAATCTGCCTCAGGAGAGTTTAATTTCCCGTGTGACTTGTTGAGTTATGTGTTTTGCTCTCCGCTCGGTCTCGCTGAATATGACAAATCTTCTAAATCTTTCCGACCCTCATCGGAGCGACACATTGCAAGAATGCGACACACACACACACACACACACACACACACACACACACACACACACACAAAAAACAACATAACTCTAGCATTATTTCTTCACAGGCTCCAGATTTCATGAGAATTGTCCTGGGCTCTAATATTACTTTAAGATCCAAATATGGATTCTAAAGTCCAGATTTACAAAGTTCAGGGGAACATAATTCTTAAAATAAAGGCAGCAGCTTGTCTTGACCTACCTGTAGAGCCAGCTGTGGATCTTCAGGTCCCAGAGTCCTTGTCCTCGTTGAGGCTCTCGGAGATTCAAGCTGTCCTCCAGTCCCAGGGGCCTCGCCCGTTCTCTCTCTTTCTTTCTCTCTCCAGCTTTTTCCCAGTCACCAGCCCTGATTAACTAATGGCTGACAGATGAGGCTGGCAGGTTTGCGGGAGGAGCATGTCTCCATAAAGTTGCTGTTTTTTTTTTTTTTCCCCCACCGTTCGACTGCAGATACAGCTCAGCTGGGGGAAGCGTAGCCTGTATGGCTGTGGATTTTCTTTCTTCCTCCCTCCTGCTTTCTGCTGTAGTGAGGTGGGGCTAGACCCCCACACCCCACGCAACCACCCCCAACCCCCACCTCTTCTCAGCCCCAGACCGTCCACCCCACCTCCAGCGTGTCTCTTCTCCGCCGAGGAAGTTTTGCTATCATCCATGAGTAAACGTGCAGCGGGTATCTGCGGCGCTGAAGGGGCCAGTCACCCAGGCTTTGAGGACCCTGTGTTTAAAATGCCTCTGTAATTACAGCGTGCGGGGTTGCGTGTTTGTGCAGCGTTTGCCGCCGCCCGCAGCGACAAGAAAAGGCAGAAGGCGGCTTTGTTGGAAAGGGCACTCTGACCTCTATCCGTTTTTCAAGATTAGGGAAGCACCAAAGTCTCATACCGAGAGGTCATCGTCGTATATCACAGCCGCCCGTCGTTACGCAATCCTTCTGAGGTCGTAATTAGTGTTACAATGAAACATTATGCTGTTTATCTGGACTGGAAATTATGCATCTTGTGTATTTTATTCCAGCTCTCCCTTTTTGTGGTGGCTAGACAAGTAGGGGGTGGAAGGGGGGAGGCTCACTCATCAGGCAGAAATTGGCGTCCTAATTACCGCACGGCCACATGGGAACCGAAATCTCTTGAAAAACTTTGTCAGCCGTTTTTTTTTTTTTTTTCCAGAGCTGTCATCAGGGCGTCTGGTTTTTATTCATTATGTTTTCTCCTTTTGGGGTGCTTATTACTACCAGATGATTGTCTCGAAGAGTCTGTATGGATCCTTTCCTCTCGTTCGCAGCAGCTCTCTAAGTAACTCCTCTGCTTACAGGTTAAGCAGCTAACCTCAGTGTGAGAGATGTTTGTCAAGAGCCTTTGAGGAAAAGGTTGATGATGTCTTTATTTCATTAAAGAGAAAACACAACAGTCTGTCTCTGGATACGTAAAATTGTTGTGATTTGTGATCAAAATGACAAATGAGGTCAAAAATGCTACAAAAACAGAAGTCAACAAGATAAAGACAAAACAATGTTTGCCAAGGTATGATTTTCTTTCTTTTCTTTCTTTTTTTTTCAGAAAATCAAAACGGGAAATAACAAAAATCAACTAATCTTATAAGAAACATGTCTTGTGCAGAACCTGGGCTGAAATGTCACTCAGTGAGGAAGAGGTCATTACTCGAAAAAAAAAAAAAAAAAAAAATTTAAGAAGCCAAGTCACTGTTTGCAAAAGCACTCTTGGACAAAGTTTTATTTTTGGAGACATTTTCTGTAATTTGATGAAGAAAAAATGGTGAAATCTTTTGCTAATATGACCATAGTTATATGTGGAGATAATACGGAGAAGCTAACAAGCCTGAGAAAATCCCGACTGTTAGCTTTGGGGAGTGGGCAGCATCATGACGTTTTGGTGTTTTGCTGCAGGAACACTGGTGAACTTCATAAAATGTTTCGCCTCATAAGGAAAGAACAACATGTCAAGCTATAAAAGCAACTTCTTAAAGACGGCAGCCAGGAAGTTAAAAGCTTGGACTCGAAGAACAATGACCAAATTAGGTCTCCACGACAACAGAGTCGATGTTTTCGAGCGGCCACCGGAAAGCTTTGATCTCAGAAGAAAGAGAGCAGCTGACTCGCCTGACTCGACTCCACCGGTACAGTCAGGACAAACGGACCAAAAGGGCAGTGGAGGACACCCGAACGTTTTGACCCAAGTCATAATTTAAAAAGCAATCGAGCCAAATACTAGGAAAACACATTCAAACTTCTACATTCTCTGTTATCACTGACATGCTTTTTTTTTTTTCGTCTCTTCTCAGTGTTCGGTGAGCTGTGGCCGCGGCACCAAGCAGCGGGAGATAGCCTGTGTTTTCCAGAACCAAACCCAAATAAAGGATGCGTACTGCGGCCATCTGCCCCGGCCGCGCGCGCAGAAGGCCTGCCGCGCTCGAGGATGCCCCGCGTGGAAAGCCAACAGGTGGCGGCAGGTACGTTTGCTCTCCTTGCTGCTCCACGACCCGCGACGATATGAATATCATGTCCGGTCCGGCCGCCGGCGCTGCTGCAGCCGCAAAACGGAGCGGAAACCCTCCTGGAGGCTGCAGATGTGGAGCACGCAGAGAGCATCTGTCTAATCTCAGCTCAGTTTATTTCTGTTCAAGAGTAATGTGTCTTTTTTTTTTTTCTTTTTCCTTTTTTTCCCCCCCTCCCCAAGCGTCACCCAAACACTCCCGGCTTGAGTTGCAAAACTGTTTACACGGCGCATGTGAGGTTTTCACTTCAGGTTTATTAGTCTGACAAAACGTTAGAAGTCGTTCTGTAATCAGGCTTCAGGCGGGGCGGGCTCCTCTTTGAATCCGATTTGTGTCGGAAAACACACTCGCGTTCTGTCACACACACACACACACCGTCTTAATAAAGCCTGATCAACTCGGAGGTCCAGGTGTGGCAGACGCAGCCGAGTGAGACCGCTCGAATCGGCTTAGACGAGATGTTAGGAACGGCATACGTGACGGCAAGTGTTTACACGAGCTGGGCTTTTTTCACATTTTCTCACAAGATTTTCTGGTAGTAGGCCAACGCAATGGAGAACATTATAGTCAGCTGGAAGAAAAACTATACATGGTTTCACGTTTTTTTAATGGAATTTTTTTTATTATTTTATTTTTTGCTGTATTTACTGCAAGTTTGTGTGATATTTCTCCACTAACTTTTCACAGCTAAACACTAAATTTCTTGCTCTTTATACTTAAAAAAAAAAGACTAAACAAAGGTTCAAACCTATCGTATATTAAATGTCAATTCTCAGTTGTGTACAATACTGAATATTGATGCCTTCACCACTTTCCACATTTTTGTTTCTGAAAACCACATCTTTTTTTCCTTCCACCTCTGAATTATGCGTCGGGTTGGACTGTCACATAAAATCCCAATGCTCTGAAGTTTGTCATAAAAGGTCAGAAGTCTGAATCAGTTTTCCGAGGCTGTGTGTTAGTACGTGTCACTTCTGAGAGAGCAAAGGCTGACTGTAGGCGCAGGTAGAAGGAAAATGAGATTTTCCAAAAAGATTTTTGTTTTTCCACATTTCTTTTTTTTTTTTTTTTTTTTTGAACACGCCTCGGCTAAAGGAAACATTTCAAGATAGAAAATCGGCGTGGATAAACCTGACCTCTGGACTCCTGCCCCTCCTCAGGCTTTACGCACATCTTCCTCCCCTCTCACTTTTGCTCCCACTGATGTCTGGAAGCAATCATCCCTGCCCCCCCACCACCATCCCCAACATACCAACAGTTACCATGAAATCCTCATCTGGCCCCAAAAGGCATGTTTTATATCTTAATATTCATGCATATGACAACTCTGAAACCACAGCACCCAGTGGGACTCATTCCATAGCTACATACCAACTTTATGTCATTCTGACCGAAGGCATGTAGTAAAATGCTTAAAAAGAATCTGGGATACACATTAGGATTTTTGATGCTCGTCTTTTATTATTTGTGAAATGGTTAGTGTAAAAACATTTAAAGAACGTGAATCCCATAACCGACTCACACGAAGCCTGTTTTCTGATTCTTGCAAAAGACTTTCCACTTCATTTGGCGTTTCTCTCTTTTCTGTCCTACGATTTAGCTGACATCATTTGTTATACTTGGAGTTAAAGGAGCAGTCTGACTGTAAAAGTGCTGCGGTGGTGGGGCGTTACCACCGAGGCCTCAGCACTTGAGATCCTGTGTTTAGACTAACATAAAATATATTAGTGAAGTGGAAGGATGGTGAAATTAATAATAATAATAATAATAATAATAATAATAATAATAATAAAAACTTGCATTTTTATTCTGCTTCCCTGAGCCAATACTTGCTAAGATCGTTTTTTTCCTATAATCATAGCAGCAAGTCTTTTTTTCGCAAATTGTGCACAGGGAGCCACCAAAGATGACATTTATGTTGTCTTTAAAAATATTTATGAAAACAAAAATTGCATAGGCTTTCCCATCCCTTGGCATGACGAGCCTCTTTGATTCATATTTATTAGAAGCATTTGCTAATGAGGAAATTTCCAAAGTTAACTCTGTATTTTAGTTAGGGGTAACATATTTAAGGGGGCTGGATAGTAACAGATTACATACTTTTCCTTTATAAAAGCTACTTCTCGTATCGATTCTTCTTCCCACCTGTAAACCATGTTCTGTTGCTCTATCTCATACTGTAAAATACATTAAATGCTTTGCTCATGGCTCAATTTAAAAAGTTTAAGGGAAATTAATGCTTTTGCAAGGCACTGCCTACTTAGATACAAGATTTATCCAATCTTAGCTACTGTACAAGAACTGAGATAAACTCTGAAGAGGTCAAATCAGAGACTGTTGACGCTCCAGATAAGGACTGATATTTATTAACCTAAACATACGTTGTTGTACTAAGAAGCTACATTATGCAGCAAAATACAATTTGTAATTTCTGCTAGCTGACCTTAAATGCTGCGCAGCTCTTTTCTTATTTAAGCAGCAGCATGCTATGAAGTTTTGTGTTTCCCTCCTTTGAAAGAAACATAGTAACAGTTTTCTCTATCTTAACCTGTCAGCAGAGAATAAAGGCCTTTCAACAGACGGTTCTGTTTTCATGCTTTATATATATATATATATATATAATTTATTTATTTTTTTTTCCAAAAGGTGTTTTTGATTTCAAGGTCAGATTTCTTAAAGAGCTTCTTACGTTTTTACCCTAAAACATAACCTTTCACATCCCACTGCGCACTTTGCAACGATAACTTACAGTTGCAGAATAAAACGGATCAACACAAATGGATCTAAAGGTTCCTGGTAATTTGATCCAGCTGCGTAATTTTCAGATTTTCAGGCGGTACGTATCTGATGAGCTTACAAAGGAATCGGCTCGATCAGCTCAGGCTTCACAGAATGCTTCCTCACGGCGTGAAGGTACGCTCGACGGACGACATCAAAGAGACTGCCGAGACAGACGCTCGTCTGATCGCAGATAAGGGCGTTCAGCGGGAAGACTGAACAAAGCTTTGTGGAAAAGTTCAACTCTGTGAACTTTCTGAAAGACGAGGAGAACGCGCTTTCGCAGCTGCGGCAAAATGTGAGAGTGGTTTCAGTCGCATGTGAATTTTTGCCAATTTTCTGAGTAGAATAAACGATAATTACAAAGCCTTGCGTTAGTATTGAGCGCTGTTTGGCCACATTACACATCTATAATGCATTTCAGGAAACTGAAGTGGTCAGTCTGGAGGCTCGCCCACATTGCGGTCATTACATCTCCACTCCCTTGCCTCCATATGTTGTTCTCTTTTTAGGCTAACTAATTCAATCTTGAATTCAGCAACCAGCGCTGGAAGGTTGCAAACCTTTTTCCGACAGACCCAACTGAGGTCCAGGCAGGAAAACTAAACGATACGGAAACACGCCGATGCGAGTAACAAGTTGATCTGTCTGACTTGAGATCGGAGGTTTTCATTGAGCGTTTTAGTTAGCAGTTCGCAGAATCATAAACGATGCTTGTTCTGAAAACTGACAGGGTTTCTGCTCCGTTTTGCGTTTCGTTTATAGTGCTCCGTCACCTGTGGGTCTGGAGTTCAGCAGCGAGATGTTTACTGCAGGCTCAAAGGTTCGGGACGAGTCAGAGAAGACCTCTGTAGTCCTCACCTACGTCCTCCTACAGTCCAGGTGTGCCAGACAGCAGAGTGCACACGTTACACCTGGGTGGCGGGTGAATGGGAACAGGTGAGTGGAGTTTCTTTTTCTTACCCAGTTGATTCTTCGATTATCTGCACAGTCTCCTAAACGTACAGACAGAACCTTAATTTTCCATCAAGGTTTTATGGGATAGACCAATAAGAGTTAACATAGAATTATGCAGCTCAGCCACATTGGATGGTAAACATGGATGACTTTTTGCTGCGTAGTTTTAAATAAAGTCAGTTTTGTGTTTGCAATCAATAAAACGGCGCACGTTTCACCGTCTCGACTTGCAGTGCAACGCAACATGTGGGGAAGGGATGAAGAGCAGGAAGGTGAGATGCGTCGGCCCGGGCCTCACACCTGCCCACGACGACCGCTGTGGACCGTCCACCAGGCCTCCATCTCTCCACCACTGCAGAGAGGAGCCCTGTCTTTACACGTGGACAACAGGGGAGTGGTCACAGGTGGGAATGAAAACTGACGGCCGTTTCTGAAAGCCTGTGCGGTTTCAGTTCTTGCTGTCAAAATTAGGGATTTGCTGAATTTATTTACTTTTTTTACGTTTGTGTTAAAACGGTCCCTTAGGTATGAGGCAGACAATCTGTGAAAACTATGGAGCTCCTCTGCCTCCTCCCTGTGGTCCCACCGCCATCTACAGACGCACACTAGAGGAGGAGGAGTACTAGCTGTTAATCACGATCGTGTACGTGCTGCTCATGGCTCTGTGCTATGCGTTCCTGATAGTTCCCCACACCTACTAGCCTCTCTTGAATGCTAAGGCTAATTAGCATGGCCACCGATGAATAGCAGAGAAACAGTTTTCCTGTAACGGTAAGTTGTTTCTCCTCCGTCAGCACATGTAGCAGCGTGTACACGAGGTGATTTGCAGCGCCAAGACCTTCCTCCTGACTCTGATTTTTTTTTTTTTTTTTTACAGCTTATCTGTCTCATCTAAAACTTTCTTGACACAGTGACAGTTTTAACAAATACGTAAAAAAACCATATTGTTTATGATGGTTACATAGTACAGCTGTTGTTTTGGTATTTGTCCACCCAAAACCGTGAGATAACTCCTAAAACATTTGATCTCAGACTGAATCCAGACCCATAAAAGGCTCATGTAAAGGAGCGCTGGCTCTTTCCTGTCGTCATGTTGTCATGTATTTGTGTTTCCCAGTGCTCCGCCAGCTGTGGCGTCGGCTACCAGCAGCGTTTTGTCTCCTGCTCTTTGATGCCCTCCTCTTCGCACTCCCAGCGTTTCCACGCTCAGCCGTCCTCCGCAGGCAAAATCTGCCCTCAGCCTCACCCTCCTGCCACTCAGCCATGCCTCCTCACCGAGTGCCCTCACAGCTCCTACTGGAAAGTCGGCCCTTGGACCGAGGTGAAGCACAGAACATTAAGCGGCCAAAGAAAATCAGTCCCACTTGTTCCAAATTATCCAAAGATGTTGTCCCTTTTCTTCCCGTTTTGGGTCTGTGTCCCAGTGTTCGCTGACCTGTGGGGCAGGAGTGATGGAGCGCAGGGTGGAGTGTGTGACCTCCAAGGGGCAAATGTCTAAACACTGCCGTCCATCAGACAGACCCGAATCGCAAGCTGCGTGTCAAGAGAGACAATGTGAGCTTCCCACTTTCAATTCGTAATAGTGTTGAATTTCTGCAGCTCCTCCAGAGTTACCAGAGGATGATTAAGAAGGAGGCCTTTGCTCAATCTGTTAGCTTAGACGGATGGCCATGTTTTGTAAGGTTTGCAGCTATGTCACCGTTAAACGACGGTGGTCTGTGAAGTCTCCAAAGCTCGGGATGGTTTTTTTTATACCCTAACCTGCTTCAAACAACTTTGTCTTCCATTTTCCTTTGTCTTCAGGATTCAGTTTGTTCTCTAATGTTCTCCAGCAAAACCTCCGAGATTTTATTTAGAGTTAACAAAGTAAACGGGTGTGAATTACAAATGAGCGCCTCAGTTTTCAGATTTTTACTTGTTAAAACTTTGTAAACTCGTGCATCGGTTTTGTTTAGCTTTGTGCTGCTGCTCTTCAGTTTGCAAAAAATACACAAGTCAGTTTTATGTATTCTAACCCAACTGCACTGACAGGGTTGTGTTAAAAGTCAATGCTCTCTCCCCCTTTCCTTTCCTAAAGATTGGATTTGGCTGTTTCTTATTCGACTGAACCATCTTGTTCTCCTTTCCGAATGTCTTCACTGCCTACGTGGAAGTTTTCGTGGGACGGGATTAAATCTAGTGTGCTGTGTGTACCGAGCAAATCCGTACCTGATTGTGTTTACAGAAATCCAACCACGCTTCTCTTCGGTGCATTAGGCAGAACGGCGAGCCCCGCTTAAAGCCTCCCGAAGTGATAATTTAGCGAAACGACAAACAGCGAGTCAGCAGTTTTCTATCAAAATGCCTTGCGGGGGGACTCTGAGCGCCCACCAGGGCGGCTGTAATTGTGCCGTGCCAAAGTTTGCAGGTTAGCTTAATCGCGTTCCACACGTCTCAGCAACGGCACGCTGGGCCAGTCGCCTCCAACCGGGCCGCTGCCAAGTCCGGCGCCGGCAAAACTAGAATGATATGCTCGGGTGACGGCCAGTTTTGTGGTCATGCTTTAAGTAGAATCAACTAATCAGCTCGATATGGGCTCTCCAGCAGAGGCAAAAAAAAGAGCCACAAGTCACAATCTTTTTTTTTAACAACTCCTCCCTCAGGCCAGGCGTTCACTTCTTGCCGAGACATTCAGCTGAACCAGGGCGTGAGGATGGATGGGGAATACTACCTGAAGGTGAAGTTTCGGACTCTGCAGGTGCGTCTTTTGCCGACAGAAATCCTCCTGCGCACGTCGCGGCTCCCGGTCTCACGATCCGTTTGGTTTTAGATCTACTGTGCCGAGATGCAGACGGATTTCCCGAAGGAGTACGTGACGCTGCGCAGCGGTCAGACAGACAACTACTCTGAGGTGTACGGCCACAGGTTTGTGACGTAGCTACGAGCTTTAAGATCCGGTTTTACGGAGCTGACCCTAACGCCTTTCGCCCTCCCCAAACAGGTTGATCAGCCCCTTCGAGTGTCCGTACAACGGCAGTCGCACGCAGGACTGTGACTGCAGAAACGACTATTTGGCAGCAGGGTACACGCTCTTCCACAAAGTTCGCCTGGACCTGAACTCCCTTCGGATAATGAGTTCGTAATTACTGTGTGACTGCCATACACCGTCTGCCGTAACGAGACCACACATCGCTGTTGGTTTAAACTCTTGCACACCTCATCCCAGAGTGCCAATAAGGTCCAAAGGCCTCACACACTCTGTCTGCTGAAAATAATAACAATAATAATAATAATAAAATAAAATATCTTGAACTTGCAGCATCCACATCACAAGGCTTCTACCGTACAAACATGTGAGCAGGGAGGATCAAAGAATGCATGTGTGCCTGTACAATATGTGAGCTCTCACTCCGGTACTCCCAACTGGACCATCATCAAAGACTTTTTCATATTTGCAAGCAGCCAATCGCACACTCACACACACACACACACACACACACATCTTCCTCCTCTAAATTTTTACTGTCAGCTTCAACTGTTGGTACGCCTTTGATTAAAGGATGAGGATTAACACAGGATGTACGTGTTTGTCTTTTCGTTTTTTGCTCACGTACCCTTTAAGGAGGAGACTGGAGTAGCTTCAGGTTGCTTTGTCCCGTCTGCGTCCTTGACACCATGTTCCCACCTTTTTCTTTTCTTTTTTTTTTGTGCATGCTACTCGTTTGGCTTTAAGGTGGCTCGACTCAGATCTGAGGCAGGAAAATGAGTTCAAGATGAGGAAGGCGGGGGGTTTGAAGAGGCGCTAATTGAGTGCGACTTGCATATCAGCGCAACTTTATGGTGATATAGAAAGTACGAAAGAATGGCAGGAGGAAGAACAAGCCGAGTTGATTGAAGAAGGAGTCGAGATTAAAACAAACTGGTTTAATGGAAACAGTGTGGTTCCTGTATTGGAAAACTGTGGAAAAGCAGCTTCTTCCGGACTTTCCGGTGCTGTTTTCCATGACCCATGTTCCAAATTTGAAAAAACAAATTCTCTTGATCATACTTATTTAATGATTCGTTTTTTTTCATATTATGTCCCCCATTCCCCCTTCTACATCAAGTGTTGACAATCTCACGGTTTCTACAAAACAGTTTCACTATTCAGTCATCAATGCGACTCACGTGATGAAATAAATACAAGAAAGCACAGAATATCTGTGCACTCCCATGGTACACAATGACAATATGTTACACGTTTGATATTTCGAGATTGGGAATGTCAAAATTTCTAACTGAAATTATGTGGGAATCCTGAAATAATGACTGTTTTTCTACTTAGACATTTTATGCAAAGGTGTTTGTCTTCCTATTCTGATGAAAATTGAAAAAAGACTTAAGAAACATAACATGAAAAAACAACAACCAGTTCACAGAATTGTGATGCATTTTTAATTTCTCTGACCTCTCCAGACACAGCCTTCCAGCTTCACTTTACAAACTGCTGAGTGGAAAATTCTCTTACATGGAGCAAACACATCTGGCAAAGTGACATCAGTTATCTGTGTGGTTTTTTCTTTTGTTTCTTTTTTTTCTTTCCTCCCAGCAGATGCTTACAGTCTGTTCACTTCGACTGTTGCACAGTTTCACTCAAGATTTCTGTCTTTTCTGTTCACCAGTCACAGACCTCCGGTTTTCCCAGACTATTCATGGCCGGCCTGTGCCGTTTGCTACAGCAGGAGATTGTTACAGTGCAGCCAAGTGCCCACAGGTTGGTCAAGTTATGCCTCATGGAAATGATGTTGTGTGCAGAGGGGGGGGGGGGAAACCCACCTGCCTCCTTACTGATTACATCTGATTTTACATTTTTGTCACATTTCATTGTCTCAGATCATCAAGCCTATTATAAGGTCAGAAAAAGATAACCTAAGTAAATGCAACAAGCAGTTTTCAAGTGGTTATTTGAAAAGCAGTCCTAACCAATCAGACCCAGTCAAAAAAAAAAAAAAAAAGAAAAGCCTTCATTGTTAGATCATTAAATAACTGATTGGCTGCATTTTTGTTTATTTTCCACAACCCACACTTGGAACTGATTACTTTCAGGCCTACAGAATTAAGACAATGATTCAAATCTATCAATCTGAAATGCTTACAAAGATATTTCTAAGGTTTTGGGATTCCATCGAACCACAGCTGTTATCCACAAACATAGGAAATATGGAACAGGGGGAGCCTTCGTTAGGGACGAGCTGATTACTCCGATAGAGCACGGAGAATATCTAAAGCATCGTTTCCCTCGTCTGCCTTAGCACAGGTCAGAGTTCATAAAATAAAAAGAGGAGATGAGGCAGTAATGACAAACCCTCTGTTGGCTGAAAAGAACACAGATATTAAGAAATATCTGTGGACTTTGTGAAAATATCCTGAGAACTAGCAAGGCAGAACTGGCATCCCGTTCCATCTGGTGTGAAACCCACACAGCTTCAACACGCTGACGGTCAAACACGGTGGTGGCAGCGTCGGGGGCCCGGCGCCGCTTTGCTGCTTCAGCACCAGGACGACCTGCTGTCATCGACGGAACCGTGAATTCTGTTCTCCACCAAAACAAACACTCCAGATCTCAAGTCTGTGCAGCAAAAACAATGATGCAGGACAGACCAGCAGGTCTGCCTGTGAAATCTTCAAAAACAGAGAGAAGGTTTTTGGAGTGGCCTTGTAAAAGTTCAGATCTCTGAGGTTGAGAAGTCGTACTGTTCATATTTAAAAACGATCCAGTGTGGCTGAATCCCTCCGTAGTGATGTGAAAGACTCATTGCTGGTTATCGCAAATGCTTGATGGTAGTTGTTGCTGAGGGACAGAGAAGCAATCAGTGCCTGGTTGCTTTGGGTAGATTTTCCTTTTAAAAAAGAAAGTCCTCATTTATAAACTGCCATTACTTAGGATAGATTCGTGAGACATGTTTTTTGTTTTTTTTTGATAATCAGAAACATTCACATGGTTTTCATGCATTCCCCTCCACATGATATTTTACGTGAAACAGCTTCTCTGTGCTTTTTAGGGCCAATTTAGTATCAACCTGATTGGAACGGGCCTCAAAGTGGCTGCAAACACCAAGTGGACATCTCAAGGGAACTACGTTTCGGTTAAAGTCCACAGATCTGAGGTAAGAGCTTTCATGCGACATCTGATGTTGGTTTTTTCCAAGTACTCCCTTGTCGTCACTTTTGCTACCCAAGTCACATTTTTGAGTTACGGGAATGAAATTCCATTGTGCCTTGTTTCTCTTTTAAGCATCATGTTATTTCAGTCTGCTGGTGAACCCACTGTTATTTATAAACTGTTCATTTTTGCACAGAACGCTGCCCTTTTGCCCACTTTCTGCTCTCTCATTCATTTCCATGCGTAGGACGGAACGAGAATTTACGGCCGCTGCGGCGGTTTCTGTGGGAAGTGCATTCCCCACGCTCATCACGGTCTTCTCCTCCAAGTTCACTGAGAGCCGAGTCGAAAACAAATCTCTAAATTCAACTCTGATGACAGTGGGCCAGGAACACACAATAAGAGTCATTTGTTGGATCCAGTCGTCGGCCGCGGGCGCGGAGGAGGGGCGTCAGCTGTGACATCTCCGGTCCCCAGACGGCAGCTAACGGATACACTAATGCTGCATGCCGTCACTTCCTTAAAACTGAAGACGAGCCAGCTTTATTTGCTTGCCAGCCATTTTGCTGTGGCACTTTCTTGTGGTTTGGAAATGTATTTACCGATGTCATTATATTACCAAGGGAGTCGGGACCTGCTGGTCACCGGAGGCCGGGGAGGGGGGGGAATGTGGGGGGGCATGCAAGAACTAGAAACAGAAGGAAAACGGCTTCGTGTTCTTTTCAAGTTAAATGTTTTCATCTTAAAACAGTCTTTTCTGAATTTAACTTCCGTTCCTCCTGGCAAACACGTTGCAGGAAGCGTTATGCACTAAAATATTAAGAAATGAATGGTTCTCTTACTGTTACCATTTTGAGAAAATGTAAAACCATTGTAACTATTATCCATATGTAACTGGAGACGGTAAATCTCTAGACTTTTCAAAGTAACTAAGTACTGACGGTGTTCCTGACCTGCCTCGCATCAGAGGTCAAAGTTTAGGGGAAATTTTTTTTTGAAGAACTTTACATTTTGATTGCAATGCTACCTGTGTGTCCCTGCTACAGCCTGTGATCTGTCTTTATTGTCATTGGTACTGCTGGTAAAAATGTGTAAGAAAAAAAAAACAGATTAGGATTTAAGAACAAAACAGAGTCCCAGTCCAGCTAAAATGATTAAAATAAGTGCCACGAATACATCATTGGAAACTCTGCAGCTGTAAACACACTCAATACATTTAACCAGTGTCACATTTCGGACTCTGCAGTCTCTAACATTTGATTTCCTTTTCTTTTGCGTGGACACAAACTTGATCAAAGTTTCTCCAGGACAGCTCATACATTCTGCTTCAACACATGCTGATCTGACAGAGAGTCACCTAAAACACACACAGCTTCATCTCTGTCTCTCAAGATGTGCCTGACTTGACAGATACATCTAGAGTCTTCAAGCTTTGCTGATACAGTAAGCTAACATTAGCATATTTATTTTGATATGGCTTGTTGATAATTCAGCTTTTAACCCGAGTGCAGGTTCTTTTCAGTGTTCATCCATTTTTAGGTTATCCTTGGCTATAACTATGTCTGTCTATGTTTATACTGGGGTGTTGGTCACAGAGTCGCCAGTGATTGGACACCACCTACTTTCAAACCACTTGTTTCAAACTCTTGTCAGGAAACCGTAACATTTTGTCATTTCAGGACAAATGTAAAAATCGTCACGTCTTCACAACATGTGGACGTTTCTGAATCTTACTGTATTTTTTGATTACAGCAATATTTTGGTTAGATTCAACCAAATTTAGCTTTATGGTGACAAACAGTGTGAAACTATGAAGGAATATGGAGAAGTACTCAAACCTGTTAAATATGGCGGAGAGTCTTTAATGATGTTCGCCTTTTTCCACCCAGCGCCTTGGAAATAGCTTAAATAATTAAATTAAATGTTAAAGCAGACATAAAACTGACTTTATTCTATGTCTGTCTCAGTCACCAGATCTAAATCCTGCAGATGACCCATAAGAGGGGAACCCTGGACTCTGATGAGTTTATTCAAAGAGGTCAGAGGTCCTTCTCTCTGTGTGCTCCTCCTAAACCGCCTAAAGATTATGCCCGGGTAACAAAAGATGATTTATTCACGTCTTTACCTTTGGTTGCCAATAAATGTGCTCGACACCTCGCTACTCTCAGAGAGTCACCGAGACGTGTTAACGGTGACTTGTTAACGGTGACTTGTTAACGGTGACTTATTAGTTAACGGTGACCTGTTAACGGTGACGTGTTAATGGTGACGTGTCAACGGTGACTTGTTAACGGTGATGCGTTAACTGTGACTTGTTAACGGTGACTTGTTAGTTAACGGTGACCTGTTAACGGTGACGTGTCAACGGTGACTTGTTAACGGTGATGCGTTAACTGTGACTTGTTAACGGTGACTTGTTAGTTAACGGCGACCTGTTAAAGGTGACGTGTTAATGGTGACGTGTTAACGGTGACTTGTTAACGGTGACATGTTAGTTAACGGTGACCTGTTAATGGTGACGTGTTAACGGTGACGTGTTAGCGGTGACATGTTAATGGTGATGTGTTAGCGGTGACGCGTTAGCGGTGACATGTTAACTTTGACGTGTTAACGGTGACCTGTTAACGGTGACGTGTTAACGGTGACGTGTTAGCGGGGACATGTTAATGGTGACATGTTAACGGTGACGTGTTAACGGTGACATGTTAACGGTGACGTGTTAGCCGTTCAGGTAAACGCCTCTGCTGTGAGAGGAAACCCAGATCATTTCGTAGAGTATAAGCTCAGTGTAAGGGTGTCATTTCATTGCACAAGTTCTCATCTTTTTACTGTACATGACACACTGTCAGGTGTGACATCTCAGCCACTCCGTTTGGCCTACTCCAAGTCCTCACAGCCCTACCTCTCATTCGCAAGCCTCTGTACTCTGAACTGTGTTGTAATATATTTATGTTCAACCGTATTTATTCTATACTGACCTCTGAACATGTTTGTAATATGATACAATGACTACTACCAGCAGAGGAGACATTGTCTGCTTTGCCAACAAGGTACTCTAATGACGTATCGCATAACCACTAACTTTAAAGTACTGTGCTTTTTAACTACTGGAATTACCTCTGACCTACAAATGGAAAATACTGAAATTTGGAGTAACTCTTTCTGAGGCGGAGCCTCTTTTTGTTTTAACCGGCAGAGTTAGAAATGTCTTGAAATGTCTGATCCCGATGCGGGATTCGTAGATATGCCAGCTGAACTCGCCCCACGGGAAATCATCTCCTCCCCGCGGGCGACGTGACCTCCTAATCCACAACTGTTACCTTGACAACCATCATGTAGCTTAACACGCTGGCATGCAGATGCTGAGCTTTTTAACCAAAGTTGGGAAACGGATCTAGACTCTATTCTCTCCTCAGACAATGCAGCTTCCTCCGATTTAAAGAACGGCCCGACAACGGTAAAAGTCGGCGAGCAGCTAGAAAACCTTTGGCTGTCGTTCAGTTTTTTGTTTTTTTTTATGACAGCCAATTGTGCTATGAGATCTGTATCAGAAGTTTGAGAATACTTTATGCACTATGTGCCATTAACTTTGTAGAAATGTAATCCTGTATGTTTTTTGTTGTAATAACCATAACACTGTAACTTATATATATGTGTGTGTGTATGTTTTTAATATTCAATACTTGAATTGTAAACATTGTGTGTTGTATTCAGTGGACATTGGTACTGAACAGAGAAATGTTGACTTTGCTTGCCCTGCTTTATCCAAAGATGATTTTAAGAATCGCATGTATGTTACAGTATGTATGGAAGTATATAAACGGTGTGTATGAATGTATGTGTGGATGATGAGGGGTGATTGCTGCTCATAAGACATGCATAATTATGGTGCTATGTACGGTTACTAATCATACAGCTACTGTACGTGTCAATATACTAAAACAGGAAGGAGAAATGGAAAAATAAAATATGCATTTCAGCAAAAAAGAAAAAGGTTGACTTAAGTTTTCTTTTCACAAAAAAAGTAATCCGTACATTAAATATACTATTAAACAAAAATGAACTATCATTTCGATGCATTCTGTTACACTACTTTTGCTGTGACGTCACTCAATTTTTAATGCTTAGTGGTCGATTGACCCGGTGTGGATGAATGTTTAGTGCTCCAAAGTTGTAAAAAAAAAAAAGACCAATATTTTGACAGAGATGGTCTTTTATTTGCAGAAATAATCAGACAATAAGTCTCCTTTTAGGGACTGACTTGCTGATATGAGAGAATCTTCATCAGTGAAGACAGAGCGTCTGCATAATGAAGCATAAGAGAATTTGACGTCGCCGTTACGTCATTGCTGCCACTTTTGAGTAGGAATTTGTGTAAAAACTGCAGCAGTGACACGTTTACTGACTTGTAAATTATTCCTACTCCTTAAACTTCTTAATATTTTTGTCATGATATAACTACAGGTAAATGTGTTTGTGACTGGCCAAAAAAAGTTTGTAGTTATAAATAGCAAACGGAACGATACAAGGCTCTTTACTTTTATTAAGCCCTTCAAAGTGAACACTTCATTGAAAAACCTTACAGATTACAGATGTGTGCTTTCCGCCATGTTTCTGCTAACTTTGCACATCGTCACAGACCGAGGGGAGAGAGTGCGAGAGCAGCCGTTTTTTTTTCCATCTGAGCTGCTCCACAGGTTCTCAGATTTAGCTCCTGACTTTGACTATACCGTCCCGATACATGAATGTGCTTTGATCTGAATCATTCCCATTTAGTGCTGGCTGTCACTTTAGAGTGATTGTTCTCCACAAAGCGACTGAAAACAAACACATGCCAGACTTTTCACTCTGGCACATAAATCCACTTGCAAAGAAAGGTGATGCGTCAACGTCATTTTGTGGATTTAGCAGAGTAGTTTTATACGACAGAGAAATGCAAGGCAGATAGAGTGTGAGGGGGGCATAAGAGACAGATTCAGAGGTGTATAACTCAAGAGACGACAATTTGCCTTCAGCGAAGTGTCACGAAACCACGATGATGATTAGATGTCAAATTACAGGGTTGACTCTGAGAATCTGTCAAACTACAGCAACAATATTTTTAATGTCTACACAACATTGCATGAAAAAATAAATAAATAGGATACATTTCGTGATCCGACAGCAGTGTCTCTTCAGTCCAGGTTTAAAAAGAGTACAGTTGGTCAGCACCGGGTCCTGCTGCGAACCACATTGTGACTCCATGTGGATCCACTTAGTGCCGTGGACCGAATTTCAACAACTTGACTTTCAAGCACTTATTTCCACTTAGAGTCACATGAAACGCAACAGCAAATACCCTGCAAAGCAGTTTCTCTCTAATCTAGATACGCTCTTGAGTTCTGAAGTTGTCCTTACTACTGGGTGACTCATCCGACTGTAATGCCAAATCAAAGGCCGAGGTAAGCCCCAATGTAAGCGTTGGAAAATTGTCCAGGGAAGAAAAGTTGGATCTTAATGACTTAATAACAAAGGTGCAGGTACTTTAGGAAAAGATAAACAGTTTACGTACCAGGCACTTTTCCACGGCTTATTGCCTCAATATAACTTTGATAGTAAATGAAAACAGATCCTGGGATTCCTGGAGACTTGCTTTGATTTCTGACCAAAAGGCAAGGGTTCCAAAAACTGCCAACTATGCTCTTAAAAGCAGTTTTTTTTTTTTTGCGAAAAAAGAACTTCAGACTTGTTGACCCACACGCCGATTATAAAAAAACCCCCAACAAAACAAAAGCAGCTTCCCATGGCACCTCATGTTGTGAGTATAAACCAAGCATCTTTAATGACTTTACTGAAAAACAAAAACCTGCACTGAGTCCTCATAAAAGACACTAATGATTGATGTTTACCATGAAGCACAGTCTGTTTCAAGGTAACGGCGCAGGCATTCCAGTGCGATCTGCAGCTGTGACCTGCTCTCAGGAGAACATATACAGAAGAAGAAAAACACTATTCCCACTGATGCCGATATATAAACATCAGCATATATGCGTGTGTGTATTTTTTTGTTTTCACTTCTTGTTGGGTATTAGGTGTTGTACTTATGCGACATCTGCGGCAAAAGATAATGGGAGAAAAATATATGAGAGGTCAAATATAAGTAAGTTTAAGATTCACACCCCACTTGTGGAAAAAAAAAAAAACTCCTCAAAGGTAAAATGAATAGTCTCACACATTGGGTAAACAGTGACACCTTGTGGTTGTTATGTTGCTCTGTCATTAAATATGTTTTTAATTATTATTTTTTGTCTCAGCTTTTTTTTTTTATTTATGCGCAAAAAATAAGGCAAAACAAGTTAAATCAATATTTGGTGAGAGTAAAAAAAATCACATCTGATGTTTGTTAGAAATACTCATCTGATTCTCTGTTGAAAAAAGAAAAAAAGATTTAACAAGTGACTACATTTGTTTACAGTAATTTATTTTCAATAACTCAATAAGTTAACATGTTGATGTATTGCAGCGTCTTGCATAGATCTACTTATGTCATTGTTTTGTCATGTTAAGCTTCACACTTTAGTGTATTCTGTTGGGGGCTTTCTGTGACAGACCAACCAAAAATAGCTAATGGCTGCAAAGTGAAAGGAAAAGGTAGAAAAGTGAGAAAATTATGACCTATACTTTACTTTAATACTCTTAATATAATTTAATGCACCTGTCCTATATTGGGCTCTTAAAGTACATTTAAGACAAACTTGCAGGTACTCAGAAGGTACAACAGGGCAAAAAAAAAAAAAAAAAACAAAACAAAAAAACAGGCAACACACTGGCAGGGAATACAATTGATTGATTGATTGATTGATTGATTGATTGATTGATTGATTGATTGATTGATTGATTGATTGATTGATTGATTGATTGATGCCGCATGCTGGACTCTGATCACCTGACAATATTTCTTATTCGCTCTCCTGCTTGTCTTGCAGAGTAAATAATTACGGCCACACTGTACTCGTATTCTGCTTTATATTTTGTAATCTTAACACTGTTTCAGTTTCTGTTAATAAGCTAATCTGGACTGGTGTGAACATTTCGGAGGCTTTTGGCTGTAAACCATGTTCTCATGTGACCAGCAGATGGCGGTAGAGTATGCGCTTACCTCAGCAGTTTCATCATGCAGAAAGAACAACATTAGTGATGCAGGGTCTCAAATGTTAGTCCTGCTCAAGTTATTTTCGTGGGTTTCAGATCTCTCCTGGAAGCAGTCATTTGTTCCAACGTTTCATAATTTCACAGATACATAGACGGAGAGGAATTTGCATGGCACACACACACACACACACACACACACACACACAGATGCACAACTACCGTCCGTCCTTTCTTCAAGCCCTCGCACACATCCCAACACTGAAGCAGCTGGCCTTCAACAGTATCAGCTCCACCTTCTGATGCAGCACGCTGGCACCAAAAGCCCTGAAACAACATAATGTAGCAGCTACCCTGCAGCCTGCTGGGCCATCAGCAGTTTGACGGTGTAAAGAAGCTGCTGGTGCTTTGCCTGACCGGGCCTTATAGCGACCGCACTGTCTCGCCTCGCAGGCCGCCACTATTGAGAGGAAGCAACGTCACCTTTGACTTTAACCGGCTGAGACGGAATGAGGTCATTTTTAGGTATTAAGTTACACGTCTACACAGCGTCCATTTTGGAACAGCTGCGTGAGACGTGTGAGGCACTGCAGGCTCGGCCCCGGCGCTGACCACCTTTCTGGAGCTGCACTGTCGGAGATTGGCCCGGTGGTGTAAAGGCTGGGGGGGGGGGGGGGGGGGGGGGAGGGCCCCGGGGGGGGGGGTTTTTGGTCCGGAGATGT